TCAAACACCACCACCACCACCCTGCCCTGGAACATATAATAAAAACTAAAACATCGACTGGGCATTCACTGTGTGCTCGAGCCCAGGCTAAGCATTTCACTTATCAGATATCTTATCAGAGTCTCTCAAAACCCCTTGAGGTGGGCGATCACATTTGCCACACTTCATAGGGGAAGGCTGTAAACTCACGGACTACAGAGATTGTGTCTCTGTCGGCCTCTTGATCCCCGTTTTCCAGAAGAGCAGCCGACAATGTGGGTGTCAGTGGGTAGGGGGGACAGCCTAGAACATCACTGCAATTTATCAGAAGACTCCCCATCATCGCTGCTGAAAGGAAGCCTCCAATCTGGAAGTTTCCTTGAAGAGTTCCCAGTCCTGGGGAAACACAGATGGACCTTCCACGGGGCGTTGCTGGTCGCTCCCAAAGCAGCTATGAGTCCTACAGAAAATGTTGTACTTGGTCCCGGCAACTCCTTGCAGCAATGAACCCAAATGGTCAGAAAAAAATGCGATTTTTCAGGTTTTGAGAAGCAGCGCAGACCACTTTTTCTTAGACTGGGTTTTGGGCCCCTCCTTTTCGTTTCTAGAGTGGGAATAAAATATATAAAATTAGAAGGCAAAACAGAAAACTACGCGCTGGGGAGAAGGAAGAAATCTTTGGGAGTTTCTGGTTGACAACACGCAAAACGAAACAAAACAAAACAAACAACCTTCTTCCTCCCTCCTGCCCTGTTTTTGTGAAGGCGCCGATCCGCGGGCAGCTCAAGGTACGCCAGGCTTCCTCCCCAGAGAGCCCAAGTTTAGGGGCAGGTCATAGTCTTGGGCTGGCTGTCTTTGCTGTGACAGGAACAGCAATGATACTTCCATCCAAGACGCTGAACAGACAAAGCAGAGAAGTTCATGAGAAACGGAGGCCCCTGCAGCTCTGACTGGGAGGTCAAGGTGGAGGGCGGCCGGCGGGGAACTGTCCAGCTTGCCTCACGGCAGCTGGTTTCCACCTGGCGCACATCTGGTTTGTAGAAACGGAACTCAGTCTTGCCCAAAGGGAGGACTCTCAGGATGTAGGCAAGGAATGGAAGGGGGGGGGTACATCAGAGAATTTGGGACTTTCCAGGGTGGAGAGTGTGGGAAGGAATTTGCTAAAATCAGACACGCTGGGGGAGAAACCTTACGCACACAGAGAGTGTGGGAGAGATTTGGTAAGGAGTCAAGATTTCCCAGCCCCACGTGGGCTTTCTTCCGAGAAGAAATCAGAAGTCACAGTTCATTGGAAACAGATAGATACCGTCAGGAAATCTTGAAGTATCTGGGGAATGCAAATATCACACTATTGCTTATTATTTGTCAGAAATACATAAGCCCACACTCTCTTGAGCACCAACGTAGGAGTAGAAAATGGAACAGTCAGCATAGATTCTATCTGTATGCCAAATCTTCGAGTGGAAAAATACTACAGAAAGGACACAAAATCTGGACTCCTCAACCCACCATCACATCCCAGCTGGAAGGAGATGCCAGTGGGCAGTCTCAGGACCCTGCTGCTCCCCTGACTGAAGGGAAGGCAGAAATAATGGACAAGAGGCAGGTGGTTTTCAACCATAGAGCTTTTAGGATGGAGAAACACGGAGGGGGCCTCACATGGGGTGTTCTTAGGTGGCCTTGCCCCGAGATTCCATTTCCACACACCAGCCCCTCCCATGTTTCCAAGGACATTAGGTTCTAATGAGTTTCCTTCTCTCCACAGCACCGACACCAACCATGAATCTTAGTCAGAAATCTGTCTGCAAAGGCAGAGATCGGGAAAGGTATAAACAATGCTGACCGCAAGCCCAATTCCCCACGTAGCTCAACCCCTAAGAAAGAATCTTAAGCCAACCGGGGCACCTGGGTGGCTCATTTGGTTAAACGTCTGTCTTCAGCTCAGGTCATGATCCCAGGGTCCTGGGATCGAGCCTCGCATCAGGCTCCCTGCTCCGCGGGAAGCTGCTTCTCCCTCTCCCACTCCCCCTGCTTGTGTTCTCTCTCTCGCTGTGTCTCTCCCTGTCAAATAAATAAAATCTTAAAAAAAAAAAAAAAAGAATCTTAAGCCAACCTTGATGTTTCTTGAAGACAATAATCCTGTGCAGGGACAATAATCCTGTGGGTTCTGGGAACAGATGTTCCAGGTGAGGTGAGGGACATCTTGACAGCTAGATGATTTGGGGTGGGTGACCTCCACCAACACACCCGGGGACGTCCAGGCCAGCCCTGACCTCTGTTTGTCCAGCTGCCTACTGGACCTGTCCATCTGGAGGTTCTGTAGGCACATCTCCAACCCGTTTTCCTAAATAGAAACTCTTAATGTGTTTCAGCAAAACATTTTATTTCAATCTTCCACTCCCCCTTCAGTGTCAAACCACAGGCTGAGCCTCACGCTGGGCCCCACTCCTAAATATGAACTGACAAGCAAGGATCATGCACAGTTGAGGAAAGCATCTAACACAAAAGCCAAGAGACTCTGTTTGAAGATTTTATTTATTTCTTTGACAGAGAGAGACACAGCGAGAGAGAGAACAGAAGCAGGGGGAGTGGGAGAGGGAGAAGCAGCTTCCCGCTGAGCAGGGAGCCTGACACGGGGCTCGATCCCAGGACCCTGGGATCATGACCTGAGCCGAAGGCAGAGACTCAACCAACTGAGCCACCCAGGTGCCCCAAAAGCCAAGAGACTCTTAAAGAAGAGCAAGGTGGGAGGACTTTCCATCCCAGATACATCAAGACTAATTGTAAAGCCATAAATATAATTAGGATAATTAAGTATATATAATTAAGGTAGTGTGGATTTTGCAGAGGGATAGACCAGTAGACCAAGGAAGCTCCGAAACACCCAGGGATGGATGGATGGATGGATGGATGGATGGATGGATGGATGCTTGATGTCCAACAGAGAGGAGTACAAGGAGACACGTGAACCAATGTTCATAGCAGCACTATTTTTAATAGCCCAAACTGAGAAGCCCTCAAATGTCCATCAACATAATTGATAAGTAGTGGTATTTAACCACAATTTATTTTATCAGCACCATATCAATACTATATGATATTAAAAATGAACCAATTTCAGCTGTACACGATAAGGTGAATGACTCACAAACGTAATGTTAAATGAAAAAAAACCAAATACAAAAGAATTCAAAGTGTGTTATTCTACTTGTATGAAGCTCAGAAATAGTCAAAACTAAACTAGGGCTTCGGGGAATATGCGCCTAAGTGGTAAAACTAAAGAAAAGCCAAGGAAGGGATTTTCAGAGAGGTCAGGGTATACTTTTCTTTGTGGGGAGAAGGGGTTTGAGTGAGAAGGCATTTGTGGTTTCTGGGGGTGCTGGCAACATGCTTTTTCTTGGCCTGGATGGTGGGTCTGTCGGTTCTTCCTTTATAATTATATATTAAGCCATGCATTTATGTTTTATTTTTAATTTTATGTTTTAGAGAGACAGCACGTGCACGTGTGCATGAAAGCTGGGAGGGGCGGAGGGAAGGGGGAGAGAGAGAATCGCAAGCAGACTCCCTGCTCAGTGCAGAGCCCAATGCGGGGCTCCATCCCACGACCCTGAGATCATGACCTGAGCCGAAATCAACAGTCGGATGCTTACCCGACTGAGCCACCCAGGCGCCCCTTAAGCCATACATTTATATTTTATGCCCTTTCCTGTGTGTATTCTCTGTCACAAAAAGATCTTTTGTAAACATGAAATACCAAGGGAAAAAATCTAGCAGAAGATATGAAAGTGGGGGGAGGGAGAATTGAAGGAGGGGGTCCAAAGTTACAAAATTCCAGTTATCAGATAACTCTGCGCTAGAGATGCAAGGTACAACGTGACAACCATAGTAAATACGCTGTGTGATAGGAAAGTTGTTGAGAGTAGATCCTAAGAGTTCTCACCACAAGGAGAAAATTATTTTTCTTTCTTTTCTTCTTTCTTTTTTTCTTTTTATTTTTTTTAAAGATTTTATTTATTTATTTGACAGAGAGAGAGAGTGAGAGAGGGAACACAAGCAGGGGGAGTGGGAGAGGGAGAAGCAGGCTTCCC